GGGGGGGAAGAAGGGAGAACGAGATTTATATCTGGAAGTCCGAATGATGTTACTCGTCAACCTAAGATAAGTATTTGTGAGTTGTAAACACCGCCCACTACTGTGGGCTGACCCAACTATCTCGATCCACTTTAACGCTTTTGCAAGTGATTGATCAAACTCCACTAGATTTTCGTTTCTTTAAAAGATGCTTTCTAAATTCTTAAACTGAAATATAAAAAAGATATTCAGGGGATGCTTTTATACGCAATTTTCATTTAGCCACTTCTCCCTTCCAATTGAAGTAGTTGAGCCTCTCCGAGCAGATGTCTGAGTCAACTTCAACTTGTAGTAGTTGGGGTGGGGTGGGTATAAAACAGGCAATTACCCGACGTTCGTATCCCCCAATGACACATCAAATAGAATACAATGTAAATGAAATATATTGCGCCTGAAAATCAAAGGCTTCTTTATTAATGGTGAAATTAGTCCTTCATTCGCTCTAAGGAATAACTTCGACTGCGGAAATCGGTAAGTTCATCCCGACGGCGGTTTAAATTTCACTTTATTTTCGAGTGCATGGATTGCAAGCATACCTTCGCACGCCTCCCTCCATCTCCCTTACACGACCTACCAGTGTTGAGGAGGCATATATTCTAGCAGCTCTGATGAGGACCATATTCGATGAGCAGTTTTGTGATAAAATATCGGCAGGAAGGGACGAATGCATGTCCTCTGGGTATTCGGGCATATGATAAATTGAAATAATATATGGGCTGATTGGACTCTATATTGTCCCTCTCATCTATTGAATTAGGGGGCTGAATTTTTAGTCACCTTTCTCGTCTACATCTCTTCATTCGTTTGATATACCAAATAATACACTTCCAACGACACTCTATGCAATTCAATTAATTTTCTTTAGTCTAACATTAGGGGGGGGGGACATTTTAGAGTAAAATGACAAAGAGTTGCCAAATCTCCGAGGTTCCTGAGTTAGAGGAGAAAATTAAATATAAATTGGGCCTCCTATCAAGTACAAATTCCTTAAAAGGGCCATCACTTACTCGATTTGAATGAATCACTTTAATTATAATTATAACTTCAGTTTAAAAAAAGCCTATATCTTTATATTAGAGTTCTTTGAAGTTCGTCGGAAGGTGGTGGTGGAGGAGGAGGAGGAGGAGGGCGGAAAGGAATTATGGAGTACGATCATAGCCATCAGAGAGGAGAGAATGGAATTTAAAAATTTTGTCACCGATAATCGTATTTGTAGTAGTAGTGGTAGCAGTAGCAGTAGTAGTGGTGCGTGATTGTGTCGGCAAATGTGGGAATTCCCTTTGATCTTTTGTGCTTCTCGAGGTGTTCAAACAAGGTGGCGGCGGTGGCGGCGGCGGTGGTGGTGGGATACGCGTGGATGGGCGCGTGCAAACTTCGCAGTGCCGCATGTATCCCCTCTCACGTGGCGAAGGAGAATCTCCGCCACTAATGGAAAGGACCCGTCCTATATCTACTCAAATTTGTACACTCTGCGAGGTAACATATAACTGCGAATAAAACAACTGAAGCTGATAAACTTCGTGTACTTGTAAATGCGGCAAATCGGGACTAATTCTATGTAGCTAAATTCGAAATAACAAAGATATTTTTTTACTAAACAAACCTAATAATTTAGCCTATTCTCAGTTAGTGTATACCTATTTAATGCTTAAAAATGCTGGAAATTCAAGTAGGTTGAGTGAAACTTCATTTTTTACAATATAGAAAGTTAATACGAGGTGTGGTGGTCTTTAAACTGAAGTAACGAAATCAGTTATTAAGTTTAGCCACGTGGGGTGTGCGATAGACTTACCTCCACGTGGTGCACCCTGGGCAACGTTTACTCATACGGCAAAAGACTTCTCACTTAAAACTACCATCACTTCACTCTATGCCATATTCGACTACTTCCACAGTACTCACCTCACCTTTTTTCTACCTTTGTGTTTGTCTCTTACATCTTTGAAACACTCGGTCCACTGTGAAATACTATTCTTTCTCATCCTGGAGTGTGTGATAGACTTACCTCCACGTGGTACACCCTGGGCAACGTATATTTATACGGAAAAAGTCTATAAACCGGCAGTTGACTTCTGACTACAAACTACCATCATCCCACTGTATGTCATATTCGACCCCTTTCACAGTACTCAGCCCGACTGCTTGTCATATTCGACCCCTTCCACAGTACTCACATCACCTTTTTTCTACCTTTGTGTCTGTATCTTCTACATCTTAACCTTTTTTCTACCTTTATGTCATCTGTCTCTTTTACATCTGTGAATCGCTCTTCTTTTCCCACTTCACAGTACTCACCTCACCTTTCATCTACCTTTGTGTCTTACACAGTACTCATCTTACCTTTTTCTCTACCTTTGTGTCTGTACACAGTACTCACCTCACCTTTTTTCTACCTTTATGTCTGTAATTTTACATCTTTGAAACACTTTTCTGTTCCCTCCCCCTTTCGATTTTTTTCGCTTTGATGTTTCTTCCCCTCTGTGAAGCCTGAAGTCAATTAAAGGACCAATGATAACTATCTAGATCCCTGCCATTTGGAATAAATTCTTTCTCATCCTAGACCTGCAAATTTAGCCGTTTTTGGTCCTCCATCAGTGATGAAAATTCACATAGTTGAAATAGTTAAACCGACGTGTTGGCAATGGTGAAAAAGGGGGTTGGTACGTAGCTACTCTTATCATGGCCTCTCACTGCGGCAGAGCCTCGATACACAACCAGAAATGACGTCATCTCTTTGTACTTTATGCATGACTGCTGAAGGAGTGATTTTTGACACCCAACCGGAGTCAAAACCCTTTCTCTTCTTATCTGCGTTTTTTAATCAGCTGGAAACAATGGCATAAGATTAATGAGTAGACATTGAAGTTTAATTGGACTGAAATTATTCAACAGATTGAATGGGAAATTTAGTATTGAACCAATGTACACCAGCGGGTTTCAAACCCCATATAGTGACACGTTGATTCGGCATCCGATGAAACCAGGAGACAGCAATAAGAAACGTCCCGAGAAAATGGATGCGGTGGCATCCGAATTCCCAGCCTACTTAATTTAATGTAGAAATGCGTGTTTCTGGAGTAATTCATTCACAGCTACTAGAGGATAGTATTTAATGTGGCATTCTGATGAGCCGTCAAACAGATTTGATTGCTGACTTGATTTTGGCGTGTCACTCAGTTTCTAATTGACTGTTCTAACTATATTACGCTCAAATTGGCTTCACTGGACTGTAGACTCCCCACCGTCGATTTCAATAATGCCTATTGTAGCCTCGCAGGCGTTCAGGTCATGAGGAGAAGAAAGCAGCACTCAGTGTTGCCCAGATGTATTCTCCGTCGGCTTTGTTGCAAAACATTCTGCACTTTGGAAGACACGGGGTGTGCGATAGACTTACCTCCACGTGGTGCACTCTGGGCAATGTATATTCATACGGCAAAAAAGCCTATTAACCTGCAGTTGACCTCTGACTTCTAACTACCATCACCCCACTCTATGTCATATTCGACTACTTCCACAGTACTCACCTCATCTTTTTTCTACCTCTGTGTCTGTCTCTTTACATCTTTGAAACACTCTTCTGTTCCAAGATCAACACCTAGCAGAAGTTTCGCCTCTTAAATGTTTGGACACGAAGTGAACTCAAAAATCTGTTTGTAAATGTGCACAATTTCTAGCTTCCACTCCAAAACGCATCCCTGTAGGTAATTCTAGCTACCCACCTCCCCCCCACCAAAACGTGTATTTTTACGTGTGTGTGTTCGAAGAGATGACGAAACGCTTATTTTTAACATTCAAGTAAACAATTGACACTCGCTCTGAGTGCAACTATTCTCTATTGTCCTATTTCAATCATTCATTCATTGAATTCGTTAATAAATAAAGTGAAATTGACATCTTTTTGATTAAGGCTAATCACTGCACGTATTTGCTTCAAAAATAGGATTTTTTCCTGTACAATGCAGTCAGTGTTTGTGTTGACTTATTAGTCACTAAAATCTGGAAACTCTTTTTGTTTAGCAGAACTGCATTGAGTCAACTTTTCTTCACTTTGCTATAATTTTTTCCTATCTATAATCAGATATACTTGCGCTAGATGAATATTCAAGCGTTTACTTTGACATTATGAATAAAATTTTCCATAAAACACCTATGCTTCTCAGGACTGAAATTTGCTTGGAATCATCATTTGTAGTCATGCACGGTCATAATACATTAGAATGGACTCAAAGTGGCGTTGTTAGGAATTAAGGTGAAGTAGTAATTTATATTAAATTGCAGGCTTTATTATACTTATCATTAGACCTTTAGCTGACTTCGGGCTTTACAGAGGGGAGGAGGAACATCAAAGTGACAAAAAGTCGAGATGAGGGACAGAAGAGTGATTCACAGATGTAAAAGAGTCAGACAGACAGACAGACACAGGCAGAGAAAAAGGTGAGGTGAGTTCTGTGAAAGTGGTGGAATATGACATACAGTGAGGTCATGGTAGTTTGAAGTGAGAAGTCAACTGCCGGTTTATAGACTTTCTTTGCCGTGTGAGTATACGTTGTCCAGGGTGCACCACGTGGATGAAAGTCCATCGCGCACCCCCTAGGGGCAGTATAATGAACCAAATTCTGCCTTAAAACCAAGACGGGTTTGTTAAAATGTAATAATAGTAATATAATAGAGGATGGTAAGAATGCAGTTATTGTTTCTTTTGTTTGTGGCCCATCTTTCCACCAGCAATATCTCTAATAAGTCACTGATGTTGAAGCAGTTCGTACTCATCGGATTTCCCCAACTCAAATTATGAAAACCTTTGATGCCCCAAGTTTTATTCAATTAAATGATATCATGTTTGTTCCCTGTAAACTCACAATTTAGATTAGGTCAAGGACGATTCAATGTTGCAGATCTGTTTGAACAAAGTTATAAAATCTACATTTTATTTATGGTTAACATTTAATTATAATTAATTATTTATTGCCCTGTTTTATTTTCAAAGGCATTTTATAATGAACGAATGGTAAGATACCGATGGCTGCCATGGAAATGATACCGAAAAGTCGTTGTTGGGGGCATTCCGCCACACGTATTGACCTCGAAGTCTCTGAATTAGAGAACGGGCATCGTGATGGCTTTTAAATTGACCTAGAAATTCAAAGCATGCAAATGTGTGGTCTTCATTGTTTACAATATTTATGAGTACTGATCAAAATGTGTTTCAAATCTTTTTTGGTTATCTAATGAAATGATATTCGAAACTAAAAAAATGTGAATGCTTTTGTCCCATAGGAAAATTTTGAGTTAATATCCACATTGCCACTGAATTTAAGGTCGATTGTTCATTCAAAAGGTATTTTTTCATAATTTTAAAAGTTATTTTATAAGTCTTCATGAGAGAACATCTTAAAACACATTGGTGGGATATTTGTACCAAAATTTACTAAAAATAGACTTGTCTCAAAACTTGTTACCTCTGCTCATTTTCACAACACTTTAAAATCAAAATCTTGTGATTAACATGACAGTGCTAAAGTATTCCAATCTGGAAAGAGAACAGAATCTTCTCTCCCCCGTGTAGCTCAAGGTAGATTTTGATTGTCTTGAACTACATATTTAATACGTTGACTTTTTTAGAAAATATTTAAATAATAATAAAAATGAAATAAAATAAGTAGGACATTGAGCTTTCTTTTTTGAATTTATAACCGTCTATTCTCATCATTTGAATGTTTGGTTGCCATTATTTGTGATAATCTCTTTGACAACGCTGATAAAAGTTTTCTGTAAGCGGAGTGGTTTCATAGCCGTACTATTTTAAAGTTATTTATTTATTTGTTTTTCCTAGAAGCAAAATAACCTATGTAATAATTACGCACATTATAAAATACCTTTAATTTCCGATGGTAACTTTCGGCGCATATTAAAAAAAACAACTTGCCTTTATTATCAACATAATACAATAAATTTAATGATATTCAATATTTATTCGAAGTTTTAGACCAGTATTAAGTGAGTTTCATCCTTGCTCAATTGTAGAGCTGTAGCATTTGGCTGTAGGGGTTAACTCCAAAAAGGCCAGTTTCTGATTGGTCGGTCGAATGCGTGCATGCTACACCAATACATATGCACACTGTCGCATCGTCAGCAGGAGATATATAATAGGTCCCATCGTGTACACAAGATCAAAACCCCCATTACATCTACAAAAGCCGTAGTAATATGCTCTTGATTACTCTATCAACCACTCTCCTCTTCCTCTCCCTCCACCTTTTCCTTGCATCTGGTGTACCTCTTCTCTCAGCAGGATTTCCAATGGATGATGAAAAGCAATGGATCCTTGCTGGTTTATCACTCATCAGACGTCTAGATTGCAATCATGTAACTAGTATCTCATCCCAGGAATGTATGAAAATCCGCATCTCTCCAGCTTCCAGATTTGTTGCCTACTTGGCTTCAAGAGAAGCTGGGAGTTCTACTCATCTCCGGTTGAGTCATCCTGAACTTGGAGACGAAATTTCATCCCAAGATCATGAAAATTTAACAGGAGTTTTAGTTCTGGATCCGCTAGCTGACAGAGCATTTGGCCATCCTCTATTTATTTTCCGGATTGTCAATATCGGGGGAAGTCATGATGAACAACCGAGGAAATGTCTAGACAAACGTGGATTACTTTACAGTACGTTAGCGTCTACTTAACTCCTCTTAATCATATTTGGGTTAGGGATAATGCTAAAATAGGTGGATAAATATTGTTTCAAGAGTCCCTTTATTGGCAGGATTCTTACTTTGCACGAGGCATCAGCTAATTTACTCGTCTTTGGTTTGTTTTTAATCCTCTTATCATCAAAGCGTATGTGTGTGAGGGAGGGCTTCTTTGAAGAGGTAGATAATTGAACACACATTAGTCGGTAAAAAAGTTCCGTCTCTTTCAAGATTTCCGCGGCATAGAGACCTTGTTGTGCGGCCAAATGGAAAGTTATAATTAACTCTTGTAGGGCTTCTTTTTTCAAACAAAAAATAAGCGGGTAAAATGCTGTTTGCTTTTAGCCAATACATAGAGGCCCGTTCCTTTTATGCCTCCCGAAAGGCTTCTGTCAGGAAAATACCCATTATATAACCAAAGAGTATTTTCAACAGGCCAACAATTCGTTAAGCATGCGTGTATATATATTTCAACAATATATATATGCGTTTTATGGAAAAGTAGAGGTCTTCTTCAGTTTTACAAGTTAAATTTCGCGTGTTAGAAGGGGGTTTCTTTACTGTGTGATTGACAGCTGCAGATGTGTCCAAAAGTTGTCGGCGAGATGACAAGCAGATTGACGGCGGTAAAGTTGATTGATACCGTCCTGAAACTAAGGCGAAGTTGTTGTTCGCTTTCTTGAAACCACCAGGTCTTAAATGACGGACAGGACACAACTTTACAAGCGAGAAGTGATTGACAGAACAAACTTAGAAAACACCCGGGTTAGTGGGGGTGGGGGGTGGGGGGTGGAAAACGACCGCCAACTTAGTTTCTTGACCTCAGAATTAAAAATGCATTGCTTTCGCAATGCAGAAAGACTCCCACAAATGTGTTTGGAGGCTAGATTTAAAGAGCCGGACCAACTGTTGGAAAGTGGACAGTTAACAAAATAATCTAATTATCCTGTCTGCCGTCGGAACTTTTGAAAAAGCTCCTTCTGTCTTGTGTTTGACCGCTGTATGTGCCTGTGTGGATTAATGTTTTTTCTCTTGGTCATTTTAGAAAATGAATGCATCCATCAGGATGTAAAACCAGACTGTCCCTTCATCTTCCCGTCTGCTACCCAACAAGATAATGACCCCAAATCCCTGCTGCCAGGCAATCAAGTCTGTGAATATCAATTCTTGCCGAAAGTCACGTCAAGTGAGGAGCCGGGACGAAATCTTTTGCAATGCATTCCACATGCATCCCCGTGCGTATCAAATTCGCACCAAAGACAAAGGCGAAAACGTATGAAATTCCACCCATTATAGAAACTCAACTGGATTTTTAAAATACACTAGCTCTAAACTTCTTCTTTTTTTAAATATGTAATAGGACTTTACCGGAGGCGAGTCATTATTCCGACCTATGGAAATCCTATTTGGAACCGAGATCCACAATGGTTAAATCCGTTAACTAGACGGGAATCGAGCAATTCAATTCTACCTCCTCGAACTGTACGGCATTCACCTTTATTGGAATTCAATCAGCGTGCTCCTAGCGCTGAAGAGGATTCAATTTGCTCTTCATATGATCGATGTGATCACGCTTTGATTCTAACCAGTAAATTTGGAGATAAGGAGAGCGTAGATAGTCACCTTTCCGGTCACTCACAGAGACGAAATTTATTTGATAAATTGCGTTCATTGGGTTTTGCTTCACGATTTCTCTCCGTATTTCCACCCGAAGTCAGACCACGCACAGAATATCATGTCTTTGACCTTCCAAACAAAATTAAAGGTAATATATTCATTATCGACTGCTTTCCTAATACTTCGTGGTATTTTGCTATAAATTTTAAAGTTGTATGCACCTTGGACATTTTTTTCTCTGAGTCAATAGGATTGAGGAATCACTAATCTTACTCCTAGGCAGAAATTTTATGATTTAAGAATTAAATGATTCAAACTAGTTAATATTAATGCTAGTCCAAATGCCTGGCCTAATTCTACCTAGTAAATTTTGTTTATTTCTCCTTTTTTAGATCCTCAACAAAACGTGTCAATCAAATCATCCTTTCGATCACGCCTGCAAAAACTATGTCACACACCAAGATGTGTCTCAACGCTGTTTATTTACTTAAACAACTTCGTACTTCCAAATGGTGACATGCAAGTTGGGGGCGATAGTCTTGTATGTATCATGCTACTGATATTTTATAAAGTAGAACCGAATTTAATAAATAATCTTTCCGTCTTTTAGACGGATCCGAATTCTCGCTACAGTGTGTCCGAATTCCTCTCTGATCTCAGTGGTTGCCAAGCCTCTTTGATATTTGCAGTGATTGATCAGAATTTCGGTGGAATTTTATTAGAAGGATTGAAATCGCGACCGATGGAATTTGGAAATCTATTTCTCCTTAGCGCCACACGACAGGCTAATGCGTTACAAAGAGAACAATCCAATGTAGAGCGGCCACTATCGGAATTCTTTTACCCTCGACACTACGCCTTTCGATTAGGACATTATGGACTCTATGGAGTCGCAAATCTTCTAACTCATGCCATAGAGAACCTACCTCTTTCGCAAATGGTTGTTGGAGACATTGAAAAGGTAAGCGTGGATCAGACAATTCGTCTTTTTATTATCCTACGCCATAATTTAAACATTAAAACTGTAGCACGACACTGATGGCTTGCAACCTCTTCTTTTTATCTACCGTTTAAACGTAACTAACGTAGTTGTTACTAGTTAACTTTCATCCTTCTTGATCAGTTCTAGTTTTACGCTTATCTCAATCATATAGTTTTGAATTTTCGATCAATAGAAACTGACTTTTAAAATGGAAATAAAATTTATCCCACAGGATTTCAATTCTTTTTCTCATACTACTTTAGCGAATAAAATCACTATATCCTCATCTTGAACTCGGTTCCTTCTATGGCAATCGAATACAAACTCACTCCACCGCGCTCTTCAGTAAACCCGTAGCAACCAATCCTCGCGAAGGTGGCTTTCTTCAAGGCCGATTAAGTGGCCAATCACGTTCTTCGACAACGCCGAGGCAGTATATTGCAGGGTGTGTGAGTTTATCACCCATTGATTGGCTGCGGAACTACCTTCCTTCTGCAGACCAAGTTCAACGACATTGACAATCAGCCTAACAACCTCTTCCCTTCCCCCCCCCCTCCTTATCCCTCCTTGTAACTCACTGTCAAAACATTCGCTGTTCCACATTTACACCCTTATTTAAACTTTTCATACCACAGAAGAAAACCCCAATTATTTTACATCTATGCGTATTAAAGAACTATCAGAAGTAGAGTAAACGATTTTAATGCTGAAGAAAGTTCTTGTACATAATAAATTTAGTTTATATGATGACAACTTCCTTCTCATGCTAATGGAATTTGTTAACTGCGTTTCTACTTATATTTTTCAGTAATGTGTCAAGCTCTTGTCATTTTTTACTGTCGGCAAAAGAATGAAATGATTGATTTGAAATATTCCATATGCAGCGTATCAGTGCTAATTTTCACCGTCATAATTTAGTATTATTTAGGGATGGAAACATAGTGTTCCATAAATTCAATTTGCTTGTGGTCAAACTCATTTTTTAGTTTCGTTTGCATATCCCGAAAAATCGATAAAGAAAATAGCATAAGGAAATAACGAAATTTAATATAGGTCAACCTGTTAATTGGGTCACAAATGCAAGTATAAGGAAGTTTCCTCATTCCACTGTTCAAACAGGTTATTGAGGAAAGCACAGCGTTCATATGGTTGAACTAAAGATTATCAGCTCCCCAGAACATGCTAGAATAAGTGACATGCTACTTATCCCGTAGTCATCAAATCCAGCTGTATCGTTGATCACATGACGGAGCGTGTGCTGTCGTGAACTCAAGACCTCTTAGTCTATCAACAATCAATAGTCACGGCGTGGTAAGAGTAGACAAATTGTATTACATGATCAAGCTACGTGTCAGTTATATACCGCCCAAATAAATGTGTTCCACGGCATACTTCTGTTTAATCAATATTGCAACAAGATCTAGGATTTTTAAAATTGGGCCAGTGACACAATTGGAACTTTTAAACGTAGTTAAGTTCTAATCTGTTTTTCGCAATGATACAATTTTTGATGGCCTGCGAATTAGTATTAAGAAAGAGCAAATGTAAACATTTATTTCTGAAAGTCAATTACCGAGTATGAATGTTTACCAAATCGTCCACAATGCGAAGCCACAACTGAACGGAAAGCTCTTAAATATCAAACTGTAGAGGCACCAAGTGGTAATGGAACTGTTTAGAAATCCGAGATCTCCAAATCGAGATAATCTAACTTAACTTCATTTGAAATAAATAAATTCAATATCCTTATAATCGAACTTACACTGAGATCCAACGTCCCACATTATGAAGTTGCAATCTTAAAGTTCTTCGTAATTGCACCGAATATGTCTCTCCATAGACTTCATGACATCTATTTGAACCTTCTTCAAAAATTCATTATTAACCGAACTACGAAACATTAATTTTTTATTTATATCAAATGGCAGGCGTTTTGATAGTTAAAATTAGTCCTTTAGCTGACATCGGACCTCACAGAGGGTAGGAATATTAGTCACAGAAAGTCGAGACTGGAAACAAAAGAGTGATTCACAGATGTAAAAGGGACAGACAGACAGATAGACACAAAGGCAGAGTAAAGATAAGGTGAGTACTGTAAAGCGTTCGATTATGATAAACAGTCTAGTCAGAAGTCAACTGCCGGTTTAGAGATCTTTTTGTCGCATGAGCGTACGTTGCCCCGGATGCACCACGCGGAGGTAAGTCTATCGCACACTCCAACCAAGGAACGCTAATTTGTGTGAAAATATTTATTTATATCAAATGGCAGGCGTTTAGATGGTTATCATTAGCCCTTTAGTTGACTTCAGGCTTCATAGAGGGGAAGGAACATCAAAGTGAAAAAAAGTCGAGGGGAGGGGAACAGAAGAGTGTTTCTAAGACGAAGGTTGAAAATTTAGAAAAAAAATGTGATGTAGTACTCTGGAAGTGGTCGAATATGACATACACTGGGGTCAGAGGTCAATTGCCGGTTAATAGACTTTTTTGCCGTATGAGTATACGTTGCCCAGGGTGCACCACGTGGAGGTAAGTCTATCGCACACCCCTGTGTGAAAATATTTATTTATTTCAAATGGCAGGCGTTATGATAGGTATCATTAACCCTTTAGTTGACTTCAGGCTTCACAGAAAGGAAGATAAACAGTAAAGTGGCAAAACGTCGAGAGGAGGACAGAATAATGATTCACAGACGTAAAAGAGACAGACAGACACAAAGGTAGAAAAAGGTGAGGTGAGTACTGTGAAATTATTCGAATATGAAATGCAGTGGGGTCTTGGTAGTTTGAAGTCAGAAGTCAACTGCCGAATAATAGACTTTTTTGCCGTATGAGTATACGTTGCCCAGGGTGCACCACGTGGAGGTAAGTCTATCGCACACCCCCTGTGTGAAAATATAGTTTATTGGAATGGCACATTTTTAGCTAACTGAGCATGGTAAAATACAACTGTTTCGAAAATTAGCAATGACGAATGTAAAAATGACATGCATTCTTCCTGTTTGCAAATATTTGCCTACCACTGAAGCGGAGTATGTAATGGAATAACCAGGTTAACTAGGTTGTCACTATTGGATCATAAATGAGTTTTTCTTGTTTCCGACTATCAATTACGACTCCAAAACTAATCATTATCATCATTCTATTATGTTTGTATTGTCTGGATCTGTTGCAAAATTCCTTTCAGCTTTTAAAACTAACCTCCAGATCACCAATTTCTTGGCAAGTCATTTGAGGCGTAATAAAGAGTGCAGGAAACTTGCATGGACACCTTATTAATGCAAATTTCATAGGGATATACTATTTGCCAACTTAATTTCCCTTATATCGTGGCTTCCTATAATGCCCAGGCATTTCCTAGGCAAAATTGGGAAACTGGGCCCTAAGTTGTCCTGAAGTTAGTTCGCGCTAGCTAGCACACTGCACATGGGTGAAGGCATGATTAACGCAGTTGGATGACTCATCGTTGTGTCGGTACCTCGTTAATACAACTGTATACACCTCGCTTTAGCACACAAATACACTCGAGCATAATTTAGATTCCATTTTAATCAGCTCTGATGCTTATATTTACGCTGCTCTATTCCCCTTACTTGAAGAACTTCATTTGATTGAAAGTGGTCAGTTAAGATCCATATCAAAGGTGGTGAACTAATAGAGGCATGTGCCGTTGGATATTGCATTCATTTGAGGAAAGGGAGAACCTTGAATTTCGGGTTCGGAATCTAAAATTTTATTCCTAGATCGAATTGTCACCCTGCTTCTCTCCGGCCCTTTGACCTTAAGTCATTGTTTTGCGAGTTGAGGTTGGTTTAGAGTTTAGTGGAAAGTGCATTTGCTATCAGTACTTCCGAAACAGACAAACGCGTTTATTCTCTTCTATTTCCCAATTCATTTGATGCGGGTGCTTACAAGAGTGCAGCGACGTTAGAAGTGCGTACTAATATTATTAGATTAAAGGAAATAAGGTCACCATATAATCCGATCCATCTTCTAAGTAGGTTAGTTTTATAACCAAAAGTGAAGGTGTGATTTTTGACAAGAGACAGGAGTCTTAACACAAGACATTAATCGATGTTCCTAACTGCGCCAGACTAGGGTAAAGCCTATTTTTTACCTCTCGCGAAAGGTGCATGGCATGAAGAGACGTCTAGGTTAGTTTATTCTTTCAAGACTTAAGGCATCAAAATTCAGAATTTATTCAAACAGCATGACCGTTTATATCATTGTTTCTGTGCACATCACAGACATCCAAATGAGTCATGCTGCTGTTGATGACTTAGAGTTTGAATGAGGATGAGGTTATTTAGCAATACACCACCATTTGAGTAAAATGTTACCCCACCCGGACTTTGTGTGAATTTTAATCAAAGCAGACGAGATTACTCAGAGTTTCAACACTTTTAATAGAGTCATTGTGGAAATGTTATACAAAGTAGAATGAAGATCTTCCGATCAGCTCCCTTGCCAATATTTGCAATCGTAAGAAGCACTGAACTTACTTTTTAATTAATGATTTTTAACACACACACATATATATATATATATATATATATATATATATATATATATATATATATA